ATTTCATAAAAAAAAACGAGAAAAAACGGAAGCTTCTTGGTGCTGCAAGTTCTAGGTAGACACATCAAGTATACGACTCGTTGTCCGTTTCGTTTGTTGCAGCAACAAGTTCTAGGCCTTGACCCGTACCCATTGCACTCGCTCGCTGTCCATGCCACCGACCATATGGTCACTTGCCACATCATAGTGCAGTGCATTTCGCTCATTTATTTGCTCTCCTGAATTTGCTAATCCGATTTTGTAATTGAGTTACGTTGTGGCCACAACAAAGTGACATAATCTTTATATATACGGTTAGGGGGAACGATAATGGGAATAGCATCGAGTGCAATCGAGTCCAGGCCCCAGACAATTGTCTCTCCTTGAGGCACTATCGCCACGGATCGCTAGTACTACCGATAAGGCGATAAGGAGAACCTCCAATGGAGAGCGACAAGTGAGATTACAAAATCTCTCGAAAGTAAAAACAGGGAAAAAGATACACTGGGAGGAAAAGGGGGTGTATGTAGTGCAATTAACGCTCTTTTTTGAGTGAAAAGATTTTCATTTATAAATCATGTTTATAATTAGTTTCATAAGCATTTACTTCCGTTTTTTGCAGATTCAGAAAATACTTTAAAGAGATACTATAAAGATACTTAAGATACAAATAAAAGATACTTTTTTCAAAATAGAACTCTTTAAAAAATCTTCTAAATAAGATATATAGTATAAGTACGTGCAAGATTCTAGTTTTTTTGTTATAACTATCTTTCTAAAAATATATACTAGAAGTATATATAAGGTATATATAAGTATATATAAGGTTCTAGTCGTTAAGAGTAACTTTAAGATGATTTAATGAACAATAATCTCATTAAATTAATTAAAAATCAAAGTAAATAAAATAAAATCCTTGAAATACCTTTAATTTTCTATAATTTTAGCCTGTATAAGACCCTATATTAGACTGAACTTTAAAATAAAACCCAGATTTTCTAAGAACACAAGGCTTAACCAATATTATTCTTAAAAATGTATCCTTGAAATACCTTTACCTTCCTATAATTTATTCCTGTATATATTGTACTGTATATATTATCCTAAACTCTTAAATAAATCCCACCTCCTTTAAGAACACTCTTCTTAACCAATATTTTTCTTACAACATTTAATTTTTAAATCTTATTTCCCAGTGTTACACACAAATGGTATATGGGGCAGCCGGCTTACATAATTCTAATGCGAAAAAAAATCGCCGCCGCCGTCGTCGCCGTATTTGGGTTAAAAAAAAAAAATAAAAGGAAAACACAAAAAAAAAAAAAATGGAAAATCATTTGCTAATTTCTTGCCACGAAACGAGAAATTTAAGTTTTTCCGCGCACGCTCTCTGTGTGTGTTTCTCTAGGTGTGTGTGTGTGTGTGTTGCTCATGTGTGTAAGTGTGTTTGTGTGTGTGTGTGTGTGCGAGTGAGTGTGCGCTCAGTTGTTGCCAATCTATTCCCAACCTACCTCAAAATGTTTTGCGTTAGGCCTGAAAAAAAGCAACAGAGCGAGTGTTGGGTGGTGATGGTTGGTGGCGGCGGCGCTCTTTTTTCACTATTTCCCACAGCAAACACACACAAACACACACACACACTTGCTGAGCAAACACAGACACTCCAAAAGCTGGTTTGTCATGTAAAATGAGGGGGGTTTTTGTGGGGGGAAACAGCACAGAGAGAACGCTCTCTGTCGCAATTGAAAGTTGCCTCTTGGCTTTATTTTCATTATATTTTGTTGTTGTATTTTATTTGTTGTGTGTGGGCGATTCAACGCTATTTTTTTCGGCTTGGAAAGGTTGAAGGTAAGACCAGAGACCAGAGACCAGAGACTAGAGACCATCAAAACAAAAGCCCCAGAAAAAAACAAAAATGAAGTCATGAGGAACACAAAATATAAAAAAAAGGTTAACAACAAATAAATAAAAGATGAAAATGTTTGTCGGTTGAATGTCGCAAGCGGAAAATATATATCATCCTAGGAATTTGTGTGTGAAAAATAAATAGAAATCAAATGCGAGTCAAGTGAAAAGGAAACCCATAAGATTTACCGACCGACGGGAATATTTCGACACAACGTGCAGGTTTTTTAGAGCGGAGCATTTGGTCATTTAGAGGGGGGGAAAATCAAGGGGGAGGGAAAGGATATTTGACCGGGTTTTTTAGTTTCCAATCAGACTTTAAGCCAATACTTATTTAGCAAAATAAGTCAGACATTTGGGAATTTAAAAGGGGATATATGCTACAATTCAAAAGAAGTAAAAGAATATAGAAGTTTACTATAAAAAAAGTTGATTAAATAAAGGAAAATATAACTAATCATCTAATATATGTAATATATATTAATATATAATTAGTAATGATGTAAAACCAATAGATTTTAATATCATTCTGGCTTATGAAAATAAGGTAAAACACCTATACTTCGTGTGCCTGTTTTGCTAGATAAATATAATTAATATAATAAGCATGCTTAATTTTTATATATATCATAATTAAGCTTTTAATAAGTAAAGAAACTGAGAAAAAATACATAAAATTTAAATTTATAATGAATTAAAATATGTTCTCTATTTAATAAAAAGACCTTTAGTTTCTTTTTCAAGTTTAGGTTTAGGTTTAGCTTACATTCATTGTAAGAGTTTGATAAAATATGTTTTTTTTATATATCCTATACTTTTAACTAACAATTGATGTTTAAATAACAATATTATATAACAATTTCCACTAAAAACTATAAATTTCTATAAATTCTGAAGCTTTCAGCACATATTAAATATATATATATATATATTATATATTTTCCCTTATTCCTTTTAGAATTACAATTAAGATTCCCCCAAATTTTCCCCCTTGGCACTTTCATTTTTCTTCGCCACATCAACTTCTAAGTAGTTTCCTTGGCATTTTGCGTTTTGCCCGCATAAATCCGTTGGCGGTGGCCACTCTTGAAAGCATTTCCGCCATAGCCAGATATCTTTTGGCCAAGAACTGCAGTTGGCAGTGTGGCAGGCGGCATTTAGTGTGTATCTGAAGCCCCAGGGCTTCTCCATCTCCATTTGCAACGCCATCTCCTTGGCCAAAATCAAATCCCAGGCCAAAGTCCCAAACTAAAGTGGGGTAAACTTGGCCAAAAGCTGACTGCTGCCTGTTCAGTTCAGTTCAGACGACGACGACGCCCCGTGTAAAAGTCAAATAGAGGAAACAAGTTGTTGGCTGCCAGCTAGGGTTACCAGCTTTACAGATACGGATACATATGGACATGGTGCGGGTATGTAGCAAGTGCAAGCAAGATACAGATACATAGATACACACACACACAGATACTCAAACTGGCAAGAGTATATCTTGGAAGACCAAGTAGTTTAGCGAGTTGCTTTGGCAGTTTTAGAGCAAGTGACTGGGGAAACTACATACTATTCCATAGATACGCCAAACTAGCGAATGCAGCAGGCAAGCCGGAGAGTAAACACATACACACACACAGATACACAGAGAGAAAAACACAGCACAGCACAGCTGAGCGTAATAGTTTATAGACTCTTTTGCTCTCTTTCTCTTTCTCCCCCCCCACTAACTCTCTCTCTCTCTCTCGTTGGGTCTCTATGGTGGCCCCGCTCTCGAGTAATCAATAAAATTGTTGAGGTGGGTTAGGAAACTGTTACGAAGCCGTTGACGTAGACGTCGCGCTGCTTCTGCCGCTGCCGCTTCTACCGCTTTTGCTTTAGCTTTAGCTTCTTCTTCTTCTTCTTCTACTGCTTGCTCAGCGACGCCGCCGGCGGAAATTGCGCTATTTTAAATAATGTTTATTTTGCCTGTGGTTTCAAGCATTGTTTTCGTGTTTTCTTCGTTTTTTTTTTCGTTCGTATTTTCCGTTTTTCGTTATTTAAACATTTGTTTCTTGTTGTTGCCAAATTGACATTTCACAATTTGGCCAAGTGAAAGATGTGGGAGTTGTTGAGGGAGGCTGGCATTTTGGCCATTTCGTTATTGTTTCTCTGCTACTCGAAAACGACAACAACAAAAATAACAACAAAAGTTGTCGACGGTAGCCAAAAATATGTGACGTTTTACTTGAGATAAAAAAAATGGTCATTTAAATAAAAAAGTAAACTCAAAGCATTGGATTTTAGGCAAATTGCTAATCTATGAGTAATTTTGGTTATAAATTTGTTTATAAATAAATTAGTTTACGAAGAATTTTAATGGGGAAATACCTTGAATTGGAGTATTTGTTATTTAACTTACAGAAAAACCCTTGAATAAATGTTTTATATATCGTATTTAATATATAATATATTGTTAATATTACATTTAAGATATGTACTTTAAGTCAAGGGTTATGGGACCTTTAATTAACCTTTTATAAAAACAAGCCTATAATTTTAGGAACTTTATCTTTTTTTTAGGCATATCAAAATTGTTTTCATTCCTTATATATTTAAATAATATTCGCCCTGGTTTATTATATTATCTTGATAAATGTTTTTATAATTTATGGGGATTATAAATATTCTAAAATATACATAGAATGTACTTTTTATTTAGTTATTTTTTAAATAAATTGTTGAACCCCTTTAAAAGGTATCTCTTTTAAATAAATTGTTGAACCTCTTTAACAGGAATCTCTATTAAACCAAATCTTAAAGACCAAGTTCCCAAAAACCAAACCTATAAACATTGTACAAGCCTAAAAAATAAAGAAATCCAGCTTGAGATATGAAAATCTCTAAAGATTTATAGTATGGCATATAAGTCCAGAATCAGATATTATAGTATCGCCTATTAATATAGGAATCAGTATTAACATCTTCTTATTTCCAGACTTTTCTGCTGTTTTCAACAGTTGAGGTTTTGAAATGATCAGTTTGTTAACCCATCTTATAAACCCCAACATTTCTAGAAATTTCCAGTATCATTAAAATCCTCAAATCCCTAGAGGTAATCCTCACTTTTCTCTCTAAAATTTTCTGCCACTTACAGTATCGCTTCATGAGGCTCTTCTTGTAGGCCGCCGAACGTTCCGCCTTCCGTTCCGGCTTCAGGCGCATCCTTGCCCGCTCACACTGCGCAGAATCATCAGACTCGGTGCCGGAGTAAGTGCGTCCTCGCCGGCGACTGGCCGCCGAGGCGGCTACAGCAGCTGCAGCGGCAGCAGAAGCGGCTGCATTGGAGGCGCCACCCAGGGACAAATCCAGCGGAGAGTCATAGTCATCCTGGTAAGGCTCTAGAAGCTCCTCATCCTCGCCATCTGCCTCCACATCCGCATCGGCATCATCCTCCAGAGTCTCCTCGTCCTCGATGTCACTCATTGGCTGCTGCTGAGACTGAGACTGGGAGTGGGATTGGGATTGGGATTGCTGCTGTGGTGGCGCCGCTGTGATCACCGAACTCCTTTGCAGCTGCTGCTTGCGCTCCCACAGGATCTTGGAGACATCGTCGAGGGTGCTCCGTGTTTTGTCCGGCGGGGATTGCTGTTGTCTTAGGTGGTTGTAAAGCACTTTAAATTCCCGACAGTCGGACACCTCCTCCTCCTCCTCCTCCTGGTCCTCGTTCTCGTTCTCTTTCACCTGGGGACTTGAGGTTGCTTCTGGTGACTTGGGATTGATTTCAGGTGCTTTCGTGGTGGACGCAACTGGACTTGGACTTTGCCGCGCCAACACTGACTCGGTATCAACTATGGCACCTGGTTCCGTCTGCTCCGTCTTGCACTCCTCCTTCGCCTCCACCGTTTCCCCTTGTTCTGTGGGGGAATCCTCCTTGGGCAGCTCCTGTACCTCCGCCTTTAGCTCCGCTCCTGCGGGTGATGCAGCCTCCGCTGGAGCAGCCAAAGCTGGTGGTGGCGATGTGGGCGTTAAAGGTGATGCCACCGGCGTGGGTGTGGCCGATGATAGCGACGAGGAGGAGGATGAGGAACTGGAACTGGAGCTGGAGCTGGAGCTGGAGCTCGATGAGCTGGAGCTGGAGACATTGACGAGGGCTGCCGCCGCCTGGCTGGCAAAATTGTGAGCCGTGGCGGCCACCAAATGTTGCACCATAATCATTTTGCACAACGCGGCGTATGCGTGATGTCTGACTCAATACGAAATGGGTTCCAATTAGAATATTGCGTATACGCAATGTATATTCACAATGCAGACATGTTTTTTTAAATAACTTTTGTTTTCTTGAATTAAATATATCAACTTTTAGATTGCACTACGTTTTGTCTCCTTTTGTTTTTTGCACTTGGTTCGTTGTTTGTTTTTTTGTTTATTTGTTTGTTTCTTGAGGTATTTGCTTGATTTGAATTTATATATTTTTTTTGTTTTACTTTGTAATACGTTTTTGTTAATTTAATTTATAACATTTTGCTGTTTTGCACTAATTGTGGACGTTTCTTGCGGCTTAAAATTAAACACATTTTGCTATTATTGCTATTACACTATCTCTACTTTTGCTTGTTGCTTTCTGTTCTCCGTTCTACGTTCACCGTTCACCGTTCACCGTTCTCTGTTCTCGGTTTGCTGTTTGCTGTTTGCTGTTTGCCGTTTGCCGTTTGTGTTTGGTGCTTTGCCTGTGCTGTCCGTCGCTCGCCGCGGCACGTCATTTATCTCTTACGGTATCAGCAAAAGTAAAATCTAAAGTCAGCACAAAAACCGCTGCCAGTGTTTGTTAGGCGCAAACAACAAACGTCGACGTCGACTGTGACGCTGACGTTGCAGAGGAGCGCCTGCAGCGACGCTGGCATCGCTGCCTGTCTGCATACACAAAAGCGCGCGCGCGCCCCACTCACCGATGCCCGATGCCCGATGCCCCAATACCAATACACACGCGCGCACTCTCACGCACACGCCAACACACGCACACACACTGCAGGTGTAAAAGAGCGCAGAAAAGCGGTCTGAATGGGGCTCGCTCACACGACTGACTGTGCTGTGTGGTTTAAAGCTGCCGCTGTAGACGTCGCTGCCTCTGCCTCAGTCTCAGTCGCTGCTATTGCGAAAAACGACTGAGACCCAGAGCGAGAGAGGGATCCAACCGGAGAGAGACATAGAGAGCGAGAGGCCGAAATGGCAAACAAACGTAATAGCAGGAGAGCGCCAATGTTTGGAGCTGTCTCTCAGTCTGCGGCTTCTGTTTCTGTTTCCTCTGTTGCCCCTGGCCTCCACACCTCCCCCTCCGATGCAGCTACTTGTTTGTGTGCGTGTTTGTGTGCCACATGCGCATTTGCATGCAATTCTCGCGGGGGGAATTGGCAGGGACGGTGGCTCCGCAAGGGGGGGGGGGAAGGAGCTCCATCAGTGGGGGTCCGGCAGCAAGTCCCTCAAGAATGCTGTCGAGTTAGGATTACTTCTTTTGAGCACACACAGGAAGAAAAGAAGTCTCCAAATCTCCAGTCTCCATAGATCCGGTTTAGAATATAATTAATATAATTCAAGGATCTAAGGATTATTTTATTAAACAAACAATTAGAAATTAAGACAACTTTAAGTTGCTTTAAAATAAAATCTCTTTTACACCTTCTTAAAGCTCTGAAGAGTTCTTGAAATCTCCACTGATTCTCCCTTAAAATATTAAAACCCAAGATTATTTTTCAGCAAAACACTTTGCAATATTTAGCCATATTTCAGAGATTCCCTGAAATGAATTACGGCATTTAGTGGCGATGCCACAACAAAGGCCCGATTAATTCCCTTTTTAGAGATCATTACACATCCCAAGCGATTAAAAATAAAAATAAAAGTAAGGCGGCAATACAACAAAAATAACAAACAATCGCAAGCGACGCGGCACGGCGACCCAGACCCACTGCTCTCTTGTGCTCTTTCCTACATCCCAACCGCCCCCCTCTTCCACACGAATTTCTGGAGAAGGCTCCCCAAATGGGTCAGGCCACGTCCAAAGGGCTAAGCGATCATCTGTTGTCTCTGTCGGGCATCCCATTGGGGGGAGGAGGAGGAGGAATGGGAGAGAGAGGCAGCGCTGCTGCAATCGACACGATTATGACTCAATGCAAGTGTATGTAAGTGCTGAGCTCCCTGTGTGCGTGGAGCCAGAGAGGTGCTCTCTTGCTCTCTTCCTTTCAGGTCGGTCTCTCTCTCTCTCTCGCTCGCTCGCGGTGTGTGTCTGTCAGTGGAGCAAATTTTCACTTTCCGTTTGTTTAGTGTTGTTGGGGCCTTTCCATTTACTTTGCCGATTGCGATTGCAAGTGTGCGAGCGGGAGGGCAGCACTTCTCGGTTCCCTTCTTCGGCCTGGCCCCACAGCTGCCCTCTGCCGCTTGGCTGGCATATAATGTATGTTGCAAATAAAGGAAACAGAGCAAGTAGACGACGACGACGACGACGACGACGACAAGCGACCGAGCAGAAGAACCGGGGAGGAGAAGACGAGCAGGCGAAGAAGAGGCGGCAGAAGGAAGAGTTTTGTTTTTAGAAACAGCGAGGGTGTAGACGGAACGGGGTTGGGGCTGGTGGCCAGGAGCCAGTTGGGTGGTGGGGGGGGGGTTGTGTGCCAGAAGGTGTAGAAGAAGCAGAAGCTAAATGAGGCGACGACGACACAGACATACTTTTGCAATAGCTCTTTGTCTGTGTGTGTGTGTGTGTGTGCGAATGTCTAACTGCGAATGTGTGTGCGTGTCTGTGTGTGAAATGAGTCCAATGTACCGACAACTAAGGCTACACTAGCAGAAAATTCTAACTAATATAAAAAGGATAACATAACCTACAATATAATATTACATTACAAATCACTAAGATTTTGTTTGTAAATTATTTTGACTAAATAATATCATAAAACTATTTATACAAATTTTAAATTGGGCTTATAATTTCCAAAGGAAATTAATAGTAAGGAGCTTATATTCATTTATAATAATATATATAAATGTGACCTAATTTTTAATATTCAATTCACATTAAATTGTGTCAGCAATCTTAGTTTTTATTAAGGAATATTATTTATTTACCATCGATAAATAAAAGAATCCTTCGAAATCATTGTTCCCAATCCATATCAAAACGTAACCCTGATTTCTCTCCGTGTTGGATTTAGCAACAAATGGAAGGGAGTACGAGTACACGGATAGAATGGACCTGGGGGAATATCGTTTGGGGTTTGGTGGTCGCCGACGACTCCTTTTGCCAGAAGACGAAGAACAAGAACAAGAACAAGTACAAGAAGAAGAGGAGGAAGAAGAAGTCAAAGTCAAAGCAAAAGCAAAAGAAAGAGGGGAACTGGAGACTGAGAAAGACAGACAGACAGTCGTAAAAGAATTTGTTGAAGAGGAAGCGCATTAGGTGGCTCTGTTTGCCGCCTGCCCAGCTCCTCCATACTCCATCTCCTGCAGCTCAACCTTTTCCACACACAGCTCCTTGACTCCTTCGGCTGGAGGACTCGAAATCGGTGGGTTTAACTTGGTTTGGGGTGTCGCCTGTGTTGTCGATTCATGTTTCAGCAGAAGTCATTGAACAGCTAACGACAAATGCTGCACATTGGTTGCCTCTCTCGGGAAACTAATCAGAGCTTCGGAGATAATGGGAATATATTTTTCTAACTATAGGAAATAATCTAATTCATTTTTATTTAATTCATCTGAAGTTAGTGTTCGCAGAAAATGATTAATAACTGCTAGCTTGAAATCTACACCTGATTTTCTAAGAACTGAAGCCCTTCTAGTATGTCATTTTCATGTTAATTTTATTGATCAAAGTAAATATTTTATTATATATAAGATATTAGCTATTATATATTATTAAGAATGCGTTTAGAAGATTTTAAAATTTAATTTTAAATGATTTTTCAGTTCTCTAATCAATCTGAACATTTTATATTATGTTCTCCACTATAAAATGAGTTTTTAGGTAAAATTTCAGCTTTATATGGTGACAAATCAACCAATAATTATAATTTTAAATATTCAGGATCCCTAACTTTTAAAAGACGGCAGAAACTGGTTATCCTGGCGCCACTGTGCTAATCTTGGCCGTTGCAACAACAGCGCCACCTACGACCCAGACAGGCGGAAAGTGGGCAAGGAGAATGTCGGAAATGCTCGATATAAGTAAGTAATACAAGTTTGGGGTTTCGTTTCGTATTGCTTTCAGCTTTCAGCCCCCCAACAACAATAAGAACAGTATACAGTATACATATACATAAATATATATATATATATATTTAAAACAAACTGTATATTGTGAGCGCAGCAGCGTCATCCAGCAATTTCGGCAGCAGCAGCAGCAGCAGAAAAGCAGCGACGTCGGCGAGACGAAATTTTTGGTGTAAACAGCAGTGAATGACCTCATATCATCTAATACACGCGCCGTGCACTCAAACCCAACGAAATTGGTCGCTCTCACTAACTGACTGATTGACGAACTGAATAGCTGACTGACTGACTGACTGACTGACTGACTGACTGACTGACTAACCTGCTGCTCTTCCTCCTCTTTTGCCTTTGTACCCCAAAAAAAAAAGTAAAGGTACACTTGAAGAAAGGCAAAAGGTACAAGGGTACAAAGGAGTACATTATGGGGTTTAATTTGAAGTATAACATCATTTATAGAATTTATGTTTAAAGTTTAGAACTTAATAGACTTAACGATGTCATTTTTAAGATTCTATATCTTGAAAATATTGTTAAATTAATTAGTTTAGATGTAGATATTATAATTCTTAATAATTTAGAATAAGATGGGTATCAAGTTATTAAAATACCCAAAAACCACTTTTTAAAGTAAGGACCAAAAAGACTAAGGAATAAAATCTAACTAAAATTCCCGAAAACCACAAATTCACAAAACCCTTTTATATTTTTCCGAATTCTTTTCCAACATAAGACCCCCACATTTTCGCGCAGTGCACAAACTAGAAGCATCGCAGACTTTGTAATTGTTACGCCTGCGATGGAAGGAAGTGGGTGGCAATCCTCTTTGTTCCACGCTCGTAATCTTGCCAAAAAATTATCCGTATATAGTTTCTTTGTCTACGAACGACGAGACGGGGTGTGTTTTTTTATTGGAATTTCGCCGGGCAAAAGCAAAAAAAAAACAGGACTCTTGTGGGTTAAACGAGCGACGAGGTTATAATGTCGACGAATTGATGATTGCGACTTTGATGCTCTCGACAAGATTAGGAAGATGCTGCAGTCTGATGGATACC